CGCACTTTTATTATAAATAAAACTTTTAACAACAGATCTTGGCATTTTCAACGTTAATTTTCAAAATTTAAGTCACTAAAATACGAAATTAATTCTCGTTGACACATTAAATTTGGATGGACAACGCTCTGACATGTGATGTTCTCAACTGTGATTGGTGGGTGTGAATAATTTCGAAATGGGATTATGCGCAGTGTCTTATGTTCCATCTAAGGTTTGTATAATCTAAGGTTATACTGCAATAATATTAATAAATTTCTAACCAGAAATTACAATATTATTAAGTCATAGTATCCTATTTCATAAAGTCGTACCGCAGCTCTTGTCTTATGCGAAGAGTAAGACGTGCGGAAGAAAAAAGTGTTGACTTGGATTTGGTGCAAGCACGAAGCCAAGAAAAAGCCAGTAGAGGAAACGACTTAGTGAGTGATACGTTTATATTTTCTTTTTTTTACCGCTGAGTCGAAGTAGAATTACATGCGATCTTTTGTTTAATTAAAATTAAATTAAACAAACACCGTTCAAACCGGAACAAGATTGTACAAATATAACTTCGATTTTTAACCTCACGAATGGTAAGTCTCTTATATTTTTTATATTTTTAACTTTAAGACTAAAACTGTTAATTATATGTGTGTTTTGATAATAAAAATTTAACATTTCCGAAAGCTTAGTAATAAAGCGTTTTACTGAAATTTAGCAACCTTTTTGATAGTATTCTCCAAAAAATACATTTTTTCTCGACGTATCTGTCAGAACTACACTTCTTCAAATAATTTATAAATGTACAGTTCTTTAGAAATACAATTGATTTGATATTAAGTGAGAAAAACATTTTGTTAAAGTCATAGAATTATTTAGAATATCACATGCACAACTCAAGAAACCAAACCGACCCTGGTTGCGCTTCATCGTAGTTACCAATTTTCAATCTAGCGATAAACCAAATTATTTTTAAACCATCGGTAATTTTAAACTAAGAAAGATGTAATCAATAAATTATAACAATCTGGTCCGTATTGAGCAAAGAAGCGGAAAAATCATAAAAAAAAATTTCTCGCAGTCTCTCCATTCTATAAGAACAATTGGAAAGTAAATAATTATAAAGTCTAGGATATCTTTAAAGATAGTCGGTCATCTCACCGGAGATTACAATGTGCAGCGCACACGAGACTTGTTCTCAAGTATGTACCCAGTACTACCCAGTGTGAGATAATTAGAAATCGCGCAATTTAATGCACTTTTAAACAATACACACTTCATTCAATAATATTTAAGTGGGAATCGCGGAGAACAATAAACAAAAGTGACAAGACCATATTTAGATGAATTGTAAATAATGATATAATGTTTATTTAAATAATGATACATTATTTTTTACAATATTTCATTAAAAATACTTATAATTTCACAAATTATTGAATATAAATATGATTACAAGCCCATATTAACATTACGTTGTGCATGGGTGTACATTTTGTTTTGTTTGTGATAAGAATTTTGAGTTGATTTATATTTTCTATTATAGAAAAAGTATCGATAAATAAATTTATACTAAAAGAAAAAGTAACAAATAGGTAAAATTTTTTTTTTTTTTTTAGAAAATCGAACGAAAAAGTATCTATTGGTAATTCTAATGTAATGCTTAATTCTTCTTGGTCTTTAATGTGATTCGTCAATTTTAAATAGCAGCCCCATTTACTCACAACTGTCAACAAGGGCATATTTTTAAAGTTTTTAGAGTGTCTAGAATGTTTGTTTAACGAATTGTAAGTTGTAAGTCTAAAAATTATTATTCAATGTTTGTTTGCCCTAAAACAAATTTGGAAAAGTTCCACGTCGTTTGAAAGGTAAGTAAATAAAACACATGGGCGGTACACCTATATTGTAAAATATTAGTAATTTACGCAGGCTTCCTACAAACTGAAGCAATGGAAATTTGTATTCAAATCCTAGAATTAGAGAAGGTTGAAGTTGATAAAATTAACATAAATTGGAAATATAAAATATATTGGAAACATTTTGTAATATTATTTTGTTATGAATTCTGCCGGAAAAGACGAATTTAAAGCTGGAAGCAGTTCCTATTTTATTCACTTCTCAACTTGGTCCGTCTTCAAGTAAGTTATACAAGTAAGTTAAAATAATATTATGTAATACAATACCTAATTCAAATTATTTATATATTTTAAACTTGGAGATTAAATTTAAAAAAAAAATGCTATATTGTGTTCTCCTAGACAAAGTAAAATAAATCTTAGTGCTTTCTGGAAAGAAAACATTTTATGAAAATATAAACTACTTCAAAAAGTTTCTTGTATTTTAGCAATGAAATTAATTATACTTATAAAATGATTATGTTTTAAATATTTTATAATTCTGTTTAGGGAAAATTTACTTCCTAGTGAATGTAGTGAAGAGATTTATAATTATAATATGCACATACTGGATCAGAAAATTCAAGTTGTTCCACCGACATTGTACCAGAAGCTATAGAATAGGTTATTCAAATTATAAAGAAGACATTTATAAAAATGCCCAAATTCAGAGACAAAAAGTTATGCTAAAAATAATAGATACATTTAAAAATACCCGTTTTAAAAAAAATATTTCTCACATATCATTTTGGAGATTATTAAAATATATATAAAATTCCAAAAACTTTAAAAACATGTTAAAATTTTATAAATGAGAAGTGTGTTTAATCTAGAACAGGTCAAAGGTCTAACTTTCAGCCGAAAATGCATATCAACGAAAGCGTCAAGCGGACTTCTCAACAAAGTTCGAAAGTTCGATCACTAAAATGACAAGCATCTGATTTTGCTATTCGTATGTGTCTCTAATTTTTGTTGTAAGCTGTCATAATAATTATAAATCGTAAATGCCACATTTTTTGATTACTATACAGTGCAAGAGGGGTGCCTTTTAAAAGGAGATAGACAATTCCGCCATATTGATCCCTTATTACGTGTTGCCTACATCTTGGCGCAATATTTTTAAGAGGTGCGTTTTAATCATCCACTTCTGCTTCGGAATTGTCGGTTTTCTTGTTTTAATCTGACAGGTTAAAACGACTAAACCGACAATTCCGGAAGCAGAAGCGGATGATTAAAACGCACCTGATATTTTGCTTGCTGCTGTCAGTGTCAGTGAATATTATTTTTGGAGTCACAGTTTATTGCTAAAGAATCAGTTAGCTCACTCGGACCAGTTGAAAGTTCCAAAATAACATCCACTCCAGGGATACAAATTCAGGATACGCAGAAGACTGCTGTTTTATTATAGGCGGATGTCATATATTGTATTATCCGAGTTGCGCAGTGTATAAACTGGAACATTGAGATCAAAAGTGCCGACGCAGAGTGAGCGATCTGATTCTTTAGCTATAAACTGTGTTATAGAAATCAAAATGGCCGCGCCCTATGTTGGACGTGTCGGACCTCTCTCTTTCCCCGTATAGTAATCAAAGTATGTGGTTAAAATTCATAGCGCGCAAATTATTAAAAAAGTAAATTAAATCAGAATGGTTGCGTTTTTATATTACCATTGTTGGAAGTTGACCTTGCATCTGTTCTTCGCTAGAAACATGTTCATAAGTTTAAGGAGAGGATGGCGTTAATGTAAAATTTCCTTTAAAACTCAGAAAACTGCTACAGAAATATATGATATACTAAGAAAAAGATACGGAGATGTGTGTTTATAACGCACACAGGTTTCTGAATGATGAACGAGGGACTAAGAGTGGATCGCAAACCGCATTCAGAAGAATTTTGCATTGAGCCGACAAAAGCGTATTTTGGCTATTCTTGAATCCGTAGGAATCAAAGAAGAAAGTATTACACAGATTTGAATAAAATAAAGTCTTGATTTCTTCATTAGAATACGGCTTCAGCACACCCTGCACTGCTTGTTAAGAGGCTATTGGCTCAGTATTTAGATCTCTGTATTAAAATATCTATCGTTAACACCAGATCTTGTCTCATGTGACTTTCGTTTATTACCAAGGTTAAATCAGCACTGAAAAGAACCGTATTTAGGACAGTAGAGCTGTCAAAGTAAAAGCAGGACATACCATGCCTATGCTTTTAAAAAAATGAATAATAGTACTGCTATAGGCATCATAAAATTGTAAAAGTAAAGCAACGCAAATCAATAAATAATTTAAATAATTTTAAATAATTTTATGATATAAATTCCTTTTTTTTTTAGTCAAAAATGCGATAACCAATTTAAATATTTCTGTAATTTGTTATTAATTTTTAAGCACCCTGTACATATTAAAAGTTTTAGTCAGTTTATTTGTAGATTTTTCTGAAAAGTTGTAAAAGAATTCTAAACCGTATACAGGGTGTTCCACATAAGTACCGACATAAAACAGGTGCGAGGTGAGCACCCCAAAGTTTAATGATTTAACGCAATTTACCTTCATACCAAGTTGTACCCCTAAGCAGGTACAGAGTTGAAATGTCTTAAGAGATGGTTTTGGGGTAACGCACCCTAGTAACTTCACATATCTGTTTTGTTGTCATGGTTATCTCAAAACGACTCCTTAAAATATTTTAATTATTTCTTACTCAACCTCAAATTAAAACTTATGAAGCGCCTAAATAATTTACCAAACGTTGAAAGGTTGAATAATTTTTTTTTTTTCGAAAAATATGACCGTGCTTCAGGCCTCCGTAACTCTTTAGGGGTACAATTTGATATAAAGGTAAATTGCGTTAAATCATATTTTGAGGTGCCCAACATGCACCTGTTCTGTATCGGTACTTATGCGCAACACCCTGTATATGTAAAATGTTTTAGTTTTCACAAATAGAATATTAGAACAAATATTAATTAATAAGAAAGTAAAGTATTTACCAATAAATTTGAACACGAATTTGCCAACGGACCACACGGTCCTGGCAATGTTTGACCACAAGAAAAATTGGCTTATCAATGAAACTGGATCGCCTGCAACAAATAAGTTAATAGATTACTAAAAAGTTTACGTTTAGAAATGAACCGTGATGATGATGATGATGATGATGATAATGATGATGTTGATGATGATGATGATGATCATGATGACGATGAAGAAATTTATGTCAATTAGAATGTGAAAAAACTGTTAGTACAGATAAATAAATGAATAAATAAAAAAATTTGATACTGATGAAATAGTAAATAAATTGAAAAGATACAAAATACCATCACTAGATTAAACACATTGCACAAAGTGATAGGGTAGTAACAAATATATTTTGAATTAAAATACATTAATATAAATATTAATAAATCACATTTATTTTTAAATACAATAATAGTAACAAGCATCAATTATTTTTTTATTTTATGGACCATCCAAACCTATTATGTGGTAATATTCTCAGTGGCCGTGGCTCAAGGCGACTTACAGATGATTGTTGGTACGTGCCATTTGAGTTACAAGAATATTTCTAAATAAAATAGTAATTGCAGGTCGAGACAAGCAGATTCCAGGGAGAGCCGTAGGCGAGACCTGGGTATCTATTCTTGAATCTCAGGGAGTAGAAATTTTGAGGGAAGAATGAGACAAAAATACAAATTTTGCGCGTTGCAGATAAAGAGGCAAAACCGGTTTTCTGTTCCCTCGAATTCAAGAATAGCTACCCAGGAAGCTTGGACAGACGAGCTTAACACTAATTTTCGGTCGCGTGGCGTACAATATTTTTTTTTAAGACCGACACTTCGATATAAACTCAATTATTTATTTTATTTAACAAAGTGATTAATAAATACTAAAACTAGATAATAGACACAACTGCATAAACTAACCAAATAAATTATTTTTGAATATTTATGTTAAATGTAACATTTTTGCTGCTTCCAAAATTTCTTCTGGAATTTCATTTTCTATGAATCCATATTTTTAAATATGCGAAAACAAGTTTGACATAAACAACAAAATAAAAATCAACGAACTGTCACTTGGCAATAAATCAGAACGTTGTTACTATAGTAACGAAATCAAGGCAGACTATATTATGAAACAGCGATCGAAAAAATGAAAAACAGGGACCGATAGAAGCTTTTACAGGTCCCTAACGCCTACTTTTCGGTCTTGATAGGCAAAACGTTATTTTCTAGATGAAAAACTATTTAGAAATTGATTATTTGCTGGTCGATCTTAAAAAAAAACTAATTTTATGTCTAAATAACCGTTTGAGATAATAGAAAGTTAAAGTGATGCTATAAATATTCTTCACGTAAATGTCTACATACAAAAGTAAGCTTACGGGCTCTGATTTATGTACTCAACCGAAACAAAATAACCTCTTATTGTCATTATCTGTCATTGTACGTAAATGTCATGATGCGTTTAACAACTTTAACTCATATTTTAAACTTGTAAACATTATTTTTTGCGTTGACGTTCACGTCTACGTTATCGTACTAAAAACACTTCAAAACTATTTTTTACACAATGGTATAGTTTATATTTATAATTAAATAAAAATAATAGAACTAGATTCCTTGCTATTTTATAATATACTCTTTATAGTTTAAGAGGCCCCCTTAACTCCCTATTTTAAATTAAATCAATTTTTTTCAGAATCAATAGGCTTCACCACTTCATTTTCCTAAATATTTCAAGTTTGTTGCAGTATGACCGAAAGACAGGCTTCTGTCGATGTTTCCGCGTCAATACACAAACTAGGACCAGAACTGTATTAAAATAATGTTGGAAATACCTGTGCGATTCACAGGTTTGGGAGGATTCGTACTTGGATGAAAACATTATCTTCTAATTACACATTTTATTTTAAACACTACTGGAATGATTTTATTTTTATTACATAGTGTACTTACAAACTACATATTTTTTACACTATTTACTATTTTTCTAGGAAATTTGTTATTTAATCCATTTTTATGGTATGAAAATTATATAACATGATGGTGAATGAAGCGTCGCCTTTTTTAGCATCGCAAAACGCTGTGTTGGATTTGAGAAATCTAATGTTTGAGAAGTACAGAAGCTCTGGCGCGTTATGTACCAGATTTGTCTAAAAATAACATGTACCAGATTCTATAAAGTGTACCAGATTTGTTTGAATTGTGAAGCAGTTTGGTTTATTGACAAGCAATAAAAAAAAAATAACCCAAACAAGGAAGAGACTAACAACAATATATTTTAAACGTCCAATGGAAACATACCCTGAAAAAGTACTATATTTTGATTTGAGTGAACTAGAGTACCAAATTCTTAGAGAATGTACTAGATCTAGTACAATTGTACTAGATTGGCAACGCTGGTGCTTTAGGGTAACGTGATGACGTTGACCAAATGGGAACTACATACAGCATCTGTCGCTAACCAATGAAGGTGGTTGCCGCGTATGGATAACCAATGGACAAGAATTAAATGACGCCTGTGACGAAGCTATTAGAAGTGTCTTCAGGAGTAATTAAAGAACTGAGAATGAAAGCTTGGTATATACTTCATGCAATATTAAGCACAGTAACGAATTCAACATGTTGAATGTAATTCAACAAAGTTAATATTGTTTCTGTTTTTTTTTTTAATTTTAACCCTCCTTAACATCCTATTTTCAATCAGCATTTTGTTAAAATCAAGAGACTTAAAGAGCTTGATTTTTGATTTAAATTTCGTGTTTATATCAGTTTTCGTTTTTGATTTATGTTTTTTTTTTTAATGTAAATCCACCTTAACCCCCTTTTTATTCATAGTTAGGCTTCGTCCTCGGCTTCGAACCCTTATATTGCTTACGTTTTTCTGAAAATGTCATGTTGATATTTTGACTTGTACTGACAAAAAATTGTGGTGGTTTCTCGAAAGCACACCTATAATATTCTTTACAGATTACTATGTGAAGAGAACGGGTCTAGAATAAAAATATGCAATGCTTAGCATTATATATTATACTATTCTCAGTTTAACAGATCCCCTTAACTCCCCCATTTTAACACCCCATTTTTGCTTCTGAGTTGAGATTTTTTTATATTTCAATTACTCTTTTTATTCAAATTAATTTTTTTAGAACAAATAGGCTTTACTTTTCTTATTTTTATTCAGATTTTTTAAAAATCAATAGGTTTCGTCCTCTTATTGAGCTTGATTCTTCGGTTTTGACTTATCGTGCTGATAAAAACGTGACACCGGATGGACAGACGGACGGACAGATGGACGAACAAAGAAAAGATTGCAATTTTTGGTAATACTTTCGATTGAAAGCGGTTTTACTGACAGCTTAAATTATTATGGCGTAATTTTTGTAATTTGTTTAATATTCTTTTGTTCTTATTCTTATTCATATTTTATTTCGTTAATGTTAAGTTCCAGTGTTTACATAAAGAAATGTGATTATGTTCCATAATATTTGTCGTATTATTACTGCTACTTTTGTTTTAAATTGGTTTTAATTTGTTTTTATGTTTTTATTATCACTAAATGTTAAAATACATTTTATTCTTGTTTAATTAACATAGATTAGTAGAAGGTATGAATATAAAAACAAAATAATGAAATATACAAAAATGTCCCAAAAATTATTAAGCTTAGGGCTCCACAAATCGTGGATCCGCCACTGTGTCGTACCCAATTTATTATAGCAATGAATATAATAGCCCGTCCGAACAGTTAGTTTTTGGTGCTTTTAACACTGAAACTAATCTAACTAACTGGTCACTTTTATTTCTCTTTTTATTTTTTGAAAGATGAAAGTGTTTCACTAAGTTGATTATTTGGAAAAATCGTTTGTTAATTGACTTTTTTATTTGTAAACACGTCACTGACCACATCTACCACATATTATTTTAAATTTGAATAATTAATTTGATTTTACCAATGATATTTAAAAGTCGAAATACTGTCTATAAGTTTGTTGGCAATGATAAATAATCGCATAGCCATACCTGTAGCCATACTTACTTTAAAAACGTTTGAAAAAACTTTATTTTCTGTATACCTTGGAACAATTTATATTTTTATACAGGGTGTAACTAAATAAATTTAAAACATTTAAGGGCGTGATTCCTCATCGAAAAAAAGATAGGATCTGTCATATAAAGAAACTTCATTGGAGCATCCCTTGTTAAGATACAGCCCCTTAAAGGGGGTTCATAAAATTTGTTTAACAATTTTTTTCACTTAAGGACTCAAGAAACCGCATCATCGATGCGTGCAGGGTAATTAGAGAGACTCCAGGATTATTTGAGCGAATACGTGGCTCAATGCGCCGACGTCTAGACGCATGCGTAATGTCTGAAGGTAGACATATTGAACATTTACTGATTTCTACATGTTGTATGTTTTGTTATTAATACATTAGTTTTGATTATTCCCCTTTTTAATCATGTAATGCAGGTAGTAACTACAAAATAACAATAAATCCAGTTCGCATTTATGACGATGTATCTCTGTAGTTGTTCGTAAAATAATTTTTTGCTGCGAACTTGTTTATTTTGGGCAAAAAATTCAACAGACATTTTTTTTTAGAATGAAACAGGCTATAGAAATTTTAGGAGTTGCGTTTTCCACCCCTTATAACCATGGGGTAAACCAAATAAATTACTGGCTAAGTGTCTTTTTGGTAACAGAAAATGTCAGGTTAATTTCAATATTGTAACTTGTTTAAAGCTTGTGAAAAAAAGTGTTAAACAAATTTTATGTACCCCCTTTAAGGGGCTGTAACTTAACAAGGGATGCTCCAATGAAGTTTCTTTATATGAAAGATCCTATCTTTTTTTCGATGAGGAATCATCCCCTTAAATGTTTTACACTTATTTAGTTACACCCTGTATATTCGTAGATACAAATTTGTTTTCAAGTTAAAATATTTTTATTTTGTTTTGGTAAGAAAGTGATTTATCAACTGTAAAATTTGTATTATCTATTTTCCGCCAAATGGAAATATTGTAACTGGAACTACCTTAGTATATATTTATCATTAGAATTTATAGAGGGTGGAGTATAATAATAAGCTCAAACTTGTCGCTAAACGTATAGTTCACAAATATCTAACAAAATAAAGCAGTGTACTGGATTAAAAACAGTTTTTGGTTGCTTTTAAAACAGATTCGGGTTCTATTAAGAAAACAAAAATAGTGCGG